TTATGATGATGATGATTGTTTAGTTTATTTTTCAAGTTATAATAAATATATCATTAGGTAGTTTCTTTCACTTCAAAAGATATACACATAAACGATAATAGCCGTTATGTTTGTTTATGTAGGTACTATCTTACTTGAAACTACTTTTAAACAATCATAGTTACTTGTTTATAAAAATTAAAATTTTTAAATGCTTTTTAGCATTCAAAAAAATTAAAATTTATTTGGAATCCTGAGAAAACTAACAAATATTTTTGAAAAATTTAAATGCAGAATGAAAGATTACATTATTACCGAGGGCCGAAGGTCCCTTAGAATAAACAAAAAGTTTTTTTAATGAGATATTTGAAATTAAAAATCACACTAAATTTTGTTTTTTTTTTCATCCCTATAACTTATTAAAATACACATTATAGAAGTTTTCAGGGACTTTCAGCTCTCGGTAATAATGTATTGTTTCATTCTGCGTTTAATTTTTTCAAAAATATTTATTAGTTTTCTCAGGATTCGAAAAAAATGAATGCATTTAAAAAACATTGACCCGAAATTTTGCACCTACGCTCTTAACGATAAACTAGCACGACCCACCTCTACTTCTCGTTACTCGATCTTTTGACCAAACCACCGAACAACGGTGGCCAAACGACTATCTAGACTAGACGTTGCCAAATAAATTAGTGTATGAATATTTTTTAATTTGGCGTTATTGTATGCATGTTTAATTGTTTATTATTTCATATTGGGAAATTATTTTGATGTTTAGATTTTTAGTTCGGAAATCGTACTTAAAATACGAAACATTAATAAATTTTATTTATATAAAACGATTTCCGAAATGGAAATCAAAATGTTATATTACAATTATTGTAAAGAAAACTTGTGGCATATTCCCAATAAAAAAAACAGTAACCTGCCATTTAAATCAATTTCGCCCAAATTTGATTATCTTGAGCATTTTATCTTCTTGATAGAACATTGTTCAAATGCAAAAAAGACAACAGGTCAAATAAAACCAATAAGTTTGGCAACGTTGAATTTCCCCTTTTTTAATATTTCCATTCGGCGATATAAAGGGCGTACCTAATATACCTCTCTCTTTTTAAACAGCTGTTTCTCACTCCATCTCACGTAAGGTCCATACCGACCATAAAATTTTTCCTACACTGTATATATATATATATATATATATATATATATATATATATATATATTGTAGCATTTGTAATCCCTTGGTATAAATTGAAATAATATACAAATTTTAGAGTTTGTTTATTTAACCGGACGCGTATTTCTTTGGTATTTTCTTTTGATCGAAGCCGCTTAATATTGTAAGTACTTTGTGTTTTATTTTTGTAGTTACCCCAATCCAATCCCATTGCTTCATTCACTTATCCACGACCTAGTTCTCCAAATAAACCCTGACCGCCGTTCGCATAAGTTTCGATTTATTTTGCTTGCCCTATCTCCACCCCAATAAATTTTGTCCCCAATTTTCAACCCCCCAACAACAGTCTTTCGGTTTGAACTACGTCGATTATCACTGCGGCAAGCTTTCGACATCCTCTCTGATGTCTTCTTTACAACATCCAAGGTCTCAGTCTCCCGAGCCCCCAGATACTACTACACTGATCACTAACCAGCAGTAATGCATTGGTCATAAAAGCTAAAGTTTACTCTGTATTATCTGCAGATGGTCGTTTAAGAAAGAACATTTTAATCATAATAGGTATCGAAATCAAAATTATACAACTAAATAAGTGTCAGAACATCTGTGTTTTATTTTTTACTTCGTTGTTTTGTGGGGCTTTGGTGTTTTAATGTAATGAAAAACAGATACAGTCGTAAAATAATAAATTTAAACTTATTCTGTACCATAACATATACTTTGTCTCATATTATGTTATACATATATTTAATATAAGAATGCGTAAATGTATACTATTTTCGGACAGGGAGAATATATTTTCTGGTATAGAATAAGTTTTTATTTGTTATTTTACGACTATATTTAAATTCCAATCAAAATTCATACTTTTTGAATTTGCCGAGTTAAATTCAAAATATACGTTTTGAATTTGCAGCCAAATACGTTAGTTGACCTTCCTGACGCATTTGGTGTTAGAAACAACTGTCTCCCCAATCGTTCTATGGGACTTACCATCGAGTTAGATTCTAACTCGATGGGACTTACCTTATTATTTTAGAAGGCTATGTACTCGTGCGTAAATGCGTAAATGTCCCCTGCTAAAACAAAATTTGACAGTTTTCAAATTTAGTTTGAATAATTTGAGGACAGCTTTTGCACATCAATATTTTGATTAACATTTTATTTGAAAAATATAATGGTGTATTTATGTATTTGGATATTTTTTTATTCAGTTATTAACGACAAAAAAATAAATATGTATAAAAATATTTGTATTTCTTGAAGTACAAGGGGAATGTGTTTTGAGATGTTTGAGGTTCATTTACTTAAATATTCAATTATTAAATTACTAAATCTGCTGTGCCATGTCAAGAATACCTAATAATATATACATCGTTATTGGTACAACAAACTTAAAATTATTAACACAAAATTAGCTTTAGAAAGGAGCTTTCCATTTAGTGGAGAATTACCCATATAATGTCATAGTATGACATTTGCTTCTATTTGATACATTTAGAATGCGCTAGTCACGTTACAGACTGAATGGTTGTGTAATAATCACGAATTGAAATGTTTCTCATTTGGTCTGCTTTTGCCAGCTGTATCTGATGATGATAAAAGGTTGAAACAGGTCATTGCGAATACTTATTTCTGATGTAAAATATATTTTTCTATATATTAATTCAATTCTTCCATTTTATTTAGTTTACTTGTCATTTTTTTGTTCCTTAAAGGAGAACGTTTTTGGTCAACTATTTTTTAATATACAAAAAAGGCGACAAACGCGTAAACAGTAATTCAGTTTCTAAAAACTGGTTGTAACGATTCCTACACTATTTTTCGGTTGCAGGTGCCAAGAATATATTTTTATACCAACTGTTTGTTGGTTGTATAATTAATAACATGTGTTTCCTCTTAAAACCTATGACTTTTTTCCAGAAAACTATCGTACCTATCATATAGATCTAGATATAAAAGATGATTATGATTCTATCTAAATGTCATAATATTTATCGTTGAAAAATAAATAGAAAAAGTAGATTTATTGCTGACAAAAATACAAAAATACGTACAACAGTCATCAATGAAATTGTGAATTCAGCGATGTTACGGATTTCAGCTTTTTTTTTCAGGACTGTCCTATCCACTTATTGCAACTTTTTTTCATCTTATCCATGGTTTCTTTCTTCCTGACCTGATAGCTTCCAAAACTTTCTTGGTATTCTTCGTAGTAGTCTAATTTTTGAACTTTATGCTATCAAGCATGATACTATGACTTAGTGTACACGTACATTGGAACCGTATTTCTCCCGATCCGATATCGGACGACGTCGGCCGACGTCGGATTGGAAACAAACTCAAGGTATTAAATCATAGTGGCTATACTGCTTCCGTGACGAAGCAGTATAGGAACTTTTTTCCTATCCTTCTAGTTACTTCCATGTTTAACATTCTTTGAATCCATGATATTCGTGATGAACTTGTTTTAGTGTCCAAGCTTCCAAACCATAAAGAAGAGTAGAGAACACGTAACATCGAAGCATTTTCAGGCGTAGTTCTAACCTTATATCCCGACAACAAAGAAACTTTTTAAGTTTAATAAATGATGTACGTGCTATTTCAATACGTGTCTTAATTTCTTTGGTTTGGTCTACATCTGATGTTATCCATGTTCCTAAGTATTTATAGTTATTAACACTCTCAATTGCAGTATCTTCAATAGTCAATTGGATATTTGCATGTGCAGATTTAGTCATGATCATGCATTTAGTTATCTTTAAATTTATCTTCGGTCCGTACTCATGACAGCGTTCATTAAGGCATTGCATTACGTTCTGTAAATCATTGTTGTTATCCGTAATTATTACTGTATCGTCTGAAAAACGTAAGTTATTCAAATATCATGTAAGTAGGTTCCGATATATAGATAGTGTAAGCTCATCTTGAAACACCCTGTATACTATGCAACTTATACCAATCCAATATTTGAATTCTGGCAAAAATAGACTAAGAAAAAACCGCTTAAACCACTTGTAATAGCTCATAAAGTAGAATCATAAAATAAAGTGATTACTCTCGTCTCAGAGAGGCAGTGGGGAGCAACCCCTATCTTTAACAATGATTTGACTTTCAAATCAGAATAAATTCGCCAATTCCATAAGTAGCTGTGTGTTTTTATTTATAATCGATAACAAATTCAGATAACAATAGATACGAATCGTATTATTTCAGTACCAGTTTCCCAAACTTTTTTACACAATGTAGAAGGACTTACAGATGTCTAAAGAATACCAGGTTACCGAATATTGTTATAAAAGAAGTAAGATATATGAAAGTACGTGCGAATAAATTTATCTTAAACAATAAAAAGAGATACTGAGAGAATTAACGAATGATGGGAAGAAAAACTTTATTAAAAAAAATTATTTTATAAAATCTTGCCATATATGATTTCTGCATATATTCATTTCCTAGTTCAATATGATTGTATATATGTCTCAATGTTGACAAATATCTAAAATTCACTCCGAACTGTTAAAACCAGACAAAACATTCGAGATATTTCTAGCCTGTTGCCTCTGTTTATTCTGGCAGTTAAGTTACCTCATCAACAACAAGCCATTATTTAACCGCAATCACTTAACCGAACGCTGAAAAAATCTAAACATTTCTAAAATGGAATACAAACATATACTTTTTGACTTTCGTCGCTTTTCAGTCATTGCGTAGTTCCCTATGAGTGGCATTGGCCTTATTCCAACGTTTCTAACGAAATTTTAGTCTAAAATTATAGTTAGAGGAATCACAATACCAAAAATACTTCCATGTCTCATGAAGTTTGTTTTTTAAGTTACAGACCAACTCCCAATCCAGTACGACAACGACACGCGTTAGCAAAACTTCGACCAGCGCTTCAACGACCAGCCAACGGCGCCAGATCACTGATTTAAAAGTAAGTCTACTATTTTTGGTAATAATTTTGTTATTTAAAACTTACTGCTTTTTTTCAAAATATACATTGTTGGGTTTATAGTTTTTTGCTTTTTATTTTAATGTAGTTTGTGATCTAAAATTATTAAATAATAATCGTGATTAGAAGCTTTCGGAAAGACTACTACTCCTGGTTTCAAAGTTCAAGGTTATTCGATTCCAGTCGTAGCTATCGGCTATACAAGCATTTTTAATGTTTCTTTTTCTATTTATTTTTCTTTATCATTATCTTATAAAATAGAAATATGCTTTATTATCACTAAAAATTGTATAAATTTATGGACGAAGCTTACAAAAAGTCCAAAAATTACAATAACAATTGAAATTTACTAAAATCACATAAATCGTTAATATCACAAAATAAAAGATAATAGAATATACAATCCATTGCAAAATTTAACTAAATTGCAAATTGCATAATAAAATCTTACGATATTGTTCTGAAGCTATTTTCTTGTGGCATTTTAAAGTAATTACTATTTAATTGGGAATAAGCCACAATTAAAGGTTAAAATACGTTTATTGACGTTTTAATTTCCACTTCGGAAATCGTTCCAAAATCCAAACATTAGTAAATTAAACAAATTTTGTTTTTAGTTTTGAAATTTTGAATTTTGAAAAATCCTTCTAATCATTTAATTTTATCTGACTCATTTATATTGACAATTCAGACATACATTATACATTTTAAAGTAGACGACTTTAAAATGATATTGCCAATATTGTTGAATTGCGCTCCTGGGATGACTTTACTTATAAGATAGTTCATTCGATTACATGAAATCAACTTTAACTTGAGAATATCCGTCAGAAAAAATCATAGCATGTAATTTCATAGCATGATTCCATAGTAAGTTATGAGGGAAAAACCAAGAAAAAAACCTCATAATACATGGTAAGTATTTGGTCGTGCATTTAGTTTACCTTCAATAAACACCAAATTCTGATTTTATATGTTTGTTATTTAAAAAAACATAAATGATGCATCTATCTTTTACTGACTTACTAATAGTGGTATTTTCCTTTTAATAACTTTCTCTGCTACTCTACTGGTATTTTCCTTTTAATAACTTCCTCTTTCAATATGGGTAACCAGATCCTACTACATTCTGCCGAGGAATTTGCGACAAAACACAATCACGCGAGGCGATCAACCCTACCCCTAGGGACATGTGTATACCACTGTAAGAGTGGGATCCACATGTCCGAAAATCAAACCGGTTACACCTCACTAGTTGAGGTGGTACCTATCTGACCCCCAGGCTTTTCCTCCACCCCTCCTCAGCGTGTGACTTACGTGAGGAGGCTTATGATCTGAATGTTACGTAAGGTGTCTTGGGTAATGAGACACCTTCTGTTTTTAATTACTGTGGTTAGGCCACCTAACTGTAGGGGTAGCACACATGTCGGCTTTTCTCCCTATTTAACTTTACTGACTCTATAGAAGTTACTCTAGCTTTACTTCGGGACTCATGTCCCTAAAAAAGAGCGTGTGTTCCAGACAGAGAGCCATCGGTCTAGACCGACAGCTCTCTGTCTGGAAAAGAATGTGTGTGCTCGTTCACTCAGTCGCCGATTTGACAAAATAAAAATTTTGTTCTCCTCGCCGGCTGGGTGTTCGAGAAGTGAGTCCTGGCCACCGAGCCCATGCTTGCTGAACATGACCTCGATGCTCAGAGTCCGCGTTTGATCAATATTTGATCTGCCTGAAGGGCCTGTACCTGCTGGCTGGTATAGAGTGCCTGACGGGCCTTTTATACATTCTTATTTGTGTTATGCAAATTTTTGTGATGTAACGGTGTTCTTGTTTATCTTGAAGATGACATGACATTAATTAGACAGTGAGCGATTTTTGTTTTTTTTTTTAAACTAAGTCTATCTATGCTAATACCTTAACTATGGAGTGTGCATTCCCAAGTGTATACCGCTCTCACACACTCCGTGTATATGTTTTTTGTGTTTTTGTTTTCCCTATTCTAATCTAAACCTAATCTAACCTAAGTGTGCGTGTGGTGGGGTGTGCATTCCCGGGTGTATAGTGCATTGGTCTCATTTAGCATAATTAGAGCCGCTTCTTTGATTTTTCTCTTTTTACCATCCGTTTCTTTTAGGACTATATTTGAATCATTCCATTGAACCCTAAGTTCATTATCCCATGCGTGTTTACATATTTGAGTTCTATCGAATTCTCGATTTTTCATATAAGATTGATGTTCACTTATTCTCACATTTAAAGGCCTTAATGTTTCACCTAAATAAAACTGATCGCATTCACAAAGTATTTTATAAATGCAATTCTTTGTCCTTTATTGTTCATTGTTAGGTTTGGTTTTGGACAAAATAGATCTCAACGTGTTTGTTGTTTTAAATGTTGGTGAAATGTTGAATTTATTTCCTATCCTTTTAGTTTTTCTGATAATCCTTTTATGTATGGTATTGTTATTTTCCTCGTATTATTCCTTGTGTATGCTGTAGGATCTCGTTCTAAGTTGTTCTGTTCTATTGAATCGATTGTTGAAAATTCTGTATTTATAAACAATAAAGAATTATCATTTTTTAATAAAACAGATGTTAACAAATGTTTTTCCTCCAAGAACGAATTTTCTTTAGAACAAGTAATTTTCGCTCTATCGTATAAGAATTTAATGATTCCCTTTTTAATATTAATATTGTGATTTGATAGAGCCAAAATTACTTGTTCTAACGAAAATTCGTTCTTGGAGGAAAAGCATTTGTTAACATCTGTTTTATTTAAAAATGATCATCCTTTATCGTGATTTACACAATCAAAAGCTTTGGCATAGTCACAAAAAAAAGTGGCAGTGTAAAGATTATTCTTTAGTGTTTGATAGACCTCATGTATTACAGAAAACATAGCATCATTGCTACATTTATAAGATAAAAAGCCGAACTGACTTTGTGATAAAATGTTGTTTTCAACGAGAAAGGATATAATTCGGGCTTTTATAAGTCTCTTAATAATTTTGAATAGGATCGTTAGTAAAGTAATAGGTTTATAGTTGCAGACATTTGATTTTCCACCACCCTTATGAAGAGGAATAATATTGGCTGTCTTTAGGCAATCTGGAAATATACCTTTTTCAAAGGAATCGTTAATTAGTAAGGCCAGCACTTCTTACACATTTTTGGGAGATTTAAGAATTTTTTTATGGATATTCCGTAGTACTACAGGAAGAGTTGCTTTTGATACTACTGATTGTTTGGATTAGTTTAGATTTATCAACTGGTCGTATAAAGACTAATTTCGAGATCTTTCTTAAATTGGGGAGATCTTTGTCTTTATTTTTATTGTGTTCATTTGGCCGTTTGTGTTTTTACGCCGAGAATATCGATACTAATTTCCCCCACAGTTATACCGTCCCTAATTGTTCCTCAGCATGCTTTTTTCCTTTCCCTTCTATTCCTTTTCCTTCTACTCCTTAAACTTAAACCCATAGTTACTGTTCGTATTTGGTTATATGCTCACTCATTTTGGCATCAGCTGATGCCAGACCTAGCCTTCCTCATTCATTCTCGTGATGTGTGATTTTCCTTTAAGTTTGGTTGAACATTTTCTGTCACACAATACAACATCTGCCTCTTTCTATTTCGTCAATTCTGCTCTAATTCCACTGTATTTCATTTTTGTCTTCAGCTTCGTTCAATTTTACTGTGTAGTACCAAGATACCGAAAATACTGCTTTTACATCATTTAACCATATAAAGTGCTGCTCTTTTCTGCATCTTCCAAAAACCCGTTTTTCTTTGACCTATTTTGATGTTATAAGACTTTTGAAACGAAATATATTATATCTTCGTTATTACATTTTTTACTATTTTACAATATTTACTCGTCATTTATTAACATCGAGACAGTCAACATTGAACACGTTCCTCCATTTGCTCCTCTATTTTTTGTTCATTTTGAACCGCCTTTGTCTTTTACCTATTTTATCAGTAGTTTTTGGTTTTTTCAATATATCCATGTTCTCTTAGATCTTTCGATACTGCACCCAGGAAGATCTTTTCTGTATACCCTACATATATGTTTGTGGCTCTCGGGTGGGCCTGCTGTCAAGCCTCTTTTGGACTGAGGCCTTGCTTCAACAGGTAATATAGCATAACACCTCGCAAACCTAATTCTTAGTTCCAATTCTTAAATCCCTTGTACATAGCACTCATTTTGTTGAAATTGGCTCTAGCCTTTTCTATTCTAATTTTGATCTCTTCAATGTAATCATTTGTGGAGTTAATCATTGTTCCCAGATATGCACATTTGTCCACTTGTTCGACGTTGGTTTCGTTTATTAGAAGATTTTCGTTATTTCTTTGAGTTCTCAATATTCTCATAAATTTCTTCATCTTGATGTTCATTGTTAGACCGTACTCTTTTCCATACTCCGCTATTCTGGTCAGCTGTCTCTGAAGATCTTCAATATTTTCGGCTAAGGGTCTCTGAAGATCTTCAATATTTCCGGCTACGATCGCAGTGTCGTCCGCATATCTAATGCTGTTAATAGGAACTCCATTTACCTTTATTCCTGCTGTTTTACCCTCATGGACTTTTTTCAGGATTTCTTCGAAGTGAGCATTAAAAAGAATTGGCGACAATACGTATCCCTGTCTCACTTCACGTCTAATTTCAATTTCTTCAGAAAGCTGTTCGTTAACACGTATTTTGCCGTCAATCTTCTTTGATTTCAGGACATTCATTAATTGTTCATGTCATACTTTATGGAATGCTTTATTATAGTCAATAAAACATGCGTATATATCTTGATTGACATAAAACATATAATGGTAACATCATAATATCAATATCGTAATCGTTATAGAAAGCTTCTAGACTTAATATTTTTCCTTTTTAAGAAAGGACCATTTATTTTAGGTATAAAACTTTGCAAGAAAGATTTCTCGATTAAATTTCTAACAACGCCACTCATTTATACATCAACACAATAATATGTTCTTTTATTATTCGTAATTATTTCGTCTATTCGTTTTTAATACCCTCTTCATGTTCATAAATGCATGTTTAATCATTTTATTACATTTAGAAAACCGATAGCATTAACTTTAATGATTATATAATTAATACCACCGCAACGACATTTTAATTAAAGTATTTTTTGTTTACAGGCTTCCAACATGAAGAACGATTTAGTAGACTTCAAAAACAACATAAACGACATGAAAAGCAGCCTACCCAACACCCTCTTGCAAATAAGAAACTCGCTAGAAAATTTAGTCGATGCCGAAGAAATCAATGATCCCATCGTTACGTTTCCTGATGATACCCCAGTGCCCTCCGAAATCGGCTCACCCACGAACGCTGTGGAATCGCTTAAATTTGAACAGAAGACTACGAATAACTTTAAGAAGACCACGGTAAGTAATTTGTCGCATTGATAGCTTGTGTAATGGACTGCCGGAGTGATGACGTAGATTTTATTGACATCTGTCAGTTTCACTTTCCAAACAAACCTTGTTTAGTGTGGATAATTTGTATTTTTCGTTATTTTTTCTTTTTTTACAGAATCTTTGCGCTTTTTTGCAATATATAAGTATTCTAATAGTTACTACAACAATTTTACAAGGTTGTGTAAAAAATAAAGGATGTTGTTTTATAAAAATAGAACTAAAATGCATGTATCAATAAAGTAAGGTTAGAATTTCTTTAATTTAAACTTTTAAACTATATTTCATAGAAATAGAACACTGAATTATGATGGTATTATCGTCAAAAACACTATACTTAAAAGAAAAAGCAGCAAAGGAAGCAAAATTTTAACTTTATAGAAATTAAAAAGTCTTGAAATTGGGTATTTCAAATTTTGTTTGGAAAGTAATAATAACAATATGACCGCCGTGACGTCACACTCCAGTTGTCCATTGTCCCTGGGATATATCATAAAAGCCAGTGGTTTTATTGGCCGTCAAATAATAAATTTACATTAATTAATTATAATAAACATTCCCCAGCAATAGTTAGCAAAACATTTCAGTTACCTGAGATAAACATGAATTGCAGTGATTTTTTTTTGTTGCCAATCAAAAGAATGTTACAGTTTAGGATTACTAATCATAAAAAACAAAAAATAAAACAAAACCTTTTGGTCATGATTTCCAAGAATGTCCTTCATATTAACAAAAGCAGCTCGAGGCTTTAAAATTCTAGTTTTTATTTCTTCTGTGATGTCATTGTTGTTATTAACACTTGTTCCCAAGTATTTATATTTGTGCACCCGTTCGATTTCGTTATTGTGAATGTACAGGTTTGCATTCAATCTTTGTTTTTTTGAAATAATCATGAATTTCGTCTTTTTGACATTCATTGTCAACCCTTTCTCTTCACTAGCTGTGACTACCTTGTTTAAAATGGCTTGCAGGTCTTCTACTGTCTCCGCCATTAAAACGGTATCATCTGCGTATCTAATATTGTTAATTGGTTGGCCGTTAATTTTTATCCCAATCTCTTCTTCCTCCAATGCTTTCTTCATAATTTCTTCCGAATAGAGATTAAATAGCATTGGCGACAGCACATATCCTTGTCTAACTCATTTTTTAATTCGAATTATTATTTTCTAATCGTACTGTTGCTTCTTGTTGGATATATAAGTTTGAGACTGACTGACTGTTTGGACTGACAATAAAAAAAAATAATATTCACTTATCATTTTTATTGATGAAATTTAGTAAAACAATTTCTATTGACACTACAACATGAAAAAATCCTTGCACTGGGCACATTTGACAAACGTCAAGTTGTGGGATCCAGGTTACCTGCATTTTGATCTTGATTTTTGGCTTTCATTAACGAATTCAGGTATGTCTATAGCTTCCTTTGACCGAAAGCGTTTATCAGGGATTGGTGCAGTCTTTCTTCTTTTCCTGGTTACATTTTCATTTTCTTCGTCACTTTCGTCGGATGAGGGTTCACTTCTGTTCTTGGAGTACAAGAGAAACCTCACAAAAATCAATAAAGGTGTTAATACATCGTACTGTCCATTTATTTGTTCTACTGCTCATAGGGTACTTTGACATAATCCTATCCAGCAAATCTACTCCACCCATGCTTTCATTGTAGTGCTTAATCACTGCTGGACGATTTATTTCTATGCATTTTGTATCTTTTACTGACCAGCGCCTACACAATCCCAAGGCTTCAGCTCCAAATGCTGATGAAGCCATATAGGCTTTGGAATTAAACCATTTTGTAACAGCTATTTTGTTGTCTTTGTTAACGAGCATATCATGGGAGCCTCTTCCTGATTTTCTTAGATTTTTATATGTCTTAAATGTCACATCAGTTTTGGTATCCTATTTTTCATTAGTGTTCCTTTTGCATTAAACTTCCGTGAATGTAATGCATCAATCAATATTTTTGACGTAAAATAGCTGTCAACAAAAATAGATACACCTACTGGCAGAGTATCTGTAAATTTTCAACCAACCCGTTCTGGTGTAAGTACCAAGCTGGATTCAATAAATCTGTATTTAGTTTCATACATGTAAAAATCAAGTGGATCCTCCCCCCTCGAAGTCGTCATGGCAAAATTCTTTAATCCTACAGGGTTAGGTTTTCCTCGCACAAACTGTTTTATTAATACTTTTCCATGAAAGGGAATCATTTGCTCATCGATTGACACTTTTTCAGTTCTTTCATTATTCAGGCAAGCCCTTTGAATTTGCTCCAACAGTGGTCTTACTTTCCAGAAGGCGGTAAAAATAAAAAAATCAAATTAAACATATACCGAAAAAAAGCAAAGAACTTTAAAGAATAGAAAAAGTAATCTCAAAAGTAACACAACTTATCAACATTTAGAAAACTGCCTTCCCTAAATATTTTTACTGAAGACATTATTTATCTTTCAAAACCGGTCCTCCTATTTTGCATGTTTGTTAACTACCTGTAGTAATTTACTTCACTAACTAAAAAATAAATAAAATGAATAATCAAATCGGAATTTAAAATGTTGTGGTGGTGAATCACCGATGTGAGATTTTGTTTTATTTTCGTACAAAACAAATGAAGCGTTGCCAATGGGCAAGGATTTGTTTAAAAATAAAATTAGCATATTTTTGCGATAGAATTTTTTTAGGTAAGGTTTAAGTAATATATTCAATGGCACTTTTAAACGGATTTTACAAAGCTTCTGTTGATAAATAGACCACAGAAACCAATGTTTTACTGTAGTTAAAGCGAGGACACATAAGTCAGAAGCAAATGATTTAAAACATTTTTTTTGTATTTTTAGTATTATTCCTTAATTCGGCAGTGGCGTTACAGCTCATTAATAGCCAATGGTTCTTCAGATTAATCCTCAATGCCCACTATTTCTGTGAACACTTCTTCAACTTTTAACCATAAAATATTATGTTATCTTCTAAGTTGTCCAGTATCTACCTGATTGCATACCATATACATCAAAAGCTTCCTGCCTTAATAAAGTTCACGTCAGGTTTCTAAAATTTCTTTAAAACTCAAAATTGTTAACAGCTGCCACAACATTTGCTTTATCACTCCTCCATAAGTAAAACGCTTAAGCAGTTCTTTGGCCAGTTCAGTTGTCCATAAATAAAACAACAGGGAATATTACCAAATAATAGGAAATGTTGAGATGGTCGGTAAGAAAACCGTTAAAACAAAAAATTATTTGATGACATTGGGATGAACTAGTATAGAGATATTCGCAGAAATTTAAGAAAAGCGACCTCTGCTAAGGAGAAATGCAAAAGCAAGTGATTATAAACAATTCCGTTCTTCTTCCAAACGGAGATGCAATGGTTACATTATACCAGCGAATCTGTTTATTAATAAAATAAACGCAAATATATCACAATCTGTCATAATAAATTTTTCATCGATAAATTTCCCATTAGCTGAAAACCCACACCTTGAAAAAGAAATATGTAGGTGAAGATCAAACGAGATGGGAATCTCATTAAAATTGTTTTACTTCGATATAAATATTTATCAGCTGGTTATTTTAAAAACGATAAAAAGAAAATTAGTTAACTGCAATCTAGAGAAAAAATAATTAAAATGAATTTTTGTAATTTATGCAATTTTTTTTTCATTGTATAATTAATATTAAAAAGTATTCAGATGAGTAAGAGTACACAAACACACAGTGATGTATACAAACATATGTGATGACTGTCCAAAAACTTACATCGGTCAAACTGGTAGAAGCTTTAACAAACGTATAACAGAACACAAAAGGGCTATCACTAATAAAAAAACAGATTCTACGTACCTACTTCACCTTCTAGATCATAATCATTCTTTTACTGACCATTTTCAAGTTCTCCATATTCAAAATAAAGTCGTAAAGCTATCTTTATTACAATTTTTGAAATTAATAAATTAAAAAATACAGATATAATTCCCAAGGTGATCGGATCCCCAAGATCCGGCAGGGGAGGATGCACACAAACAAATAGTAGGGCCTCCCTGGTCGTCAGCCAGCGAAATCCCTACGGCCTAAAAAAGGAAGCAAGTTCTCAACACCTAAGGATTGGAACTTGGAATGTACGAAGTATGTACGAGAGCGGCAAAACTCATAATATTGTAAAAGAAATGAAAAGTTAAAAAATTGATATATTGGGAATTAGTGAAACACACTGGCAAAACTCTGGACAATAGCGATATACTTGGATATAAAGTTTACTATGCTGGAAACAACACAAAACATCACAGAAACGGCAACTGCAATAGTAGTTGCCCCACATATTAATTCGGCAGTAAAATCTTTCACTCCCCATTCAGATAGAATGATGCTTTACAAAATTCGAGCAACACCGTGGATATTAATTATATTACAGGTATATACGCGCCAACGGCAGATAAAGATGAGGCAACCAGCGAAGAATTCTACGAACAACTGGAAGCCTGATGAAAATGACAAAAAAACATGAAGTAACAATAGATGATGGGAGATTTCAATGCAAAGGTTGGCAAAGGCAAGGTGAATGAGATCGTGGGAAACTTCGGGCCTAGTGGAAAGAAACGATAGAGGTGATAGACTTATATGCTTCTGCCAGGAAATATAACCTGCTGTTAAGTAATACACTCTTCAAGCTCTCCAAACGTCGACTTTACACATGGAAAATCTTCCGCTGACTCACCTGACAACATCATTAGAAAATCAGATAGATTATATAGCAGTACCAACAAGATATAAAAACATGATAAAATCATCAAAAACGTACCCAGGTGCCGATGTTCCTACGGACCACAATGTGTTGGTATGCAGAATGGTCATGAGAGTAAAACGGCTCGAGAAAAGATCTAATTTAAACACAATCGATATTAAAAAAACTCACTAACCCAGAAACCGAAATAAAAGTACGAGAACAACTAGGAAAGAAAATAAAGGACATTA